TGAATAAAGTATGAGTGGGAAATTTAAAGGAAATTCAACTGACAGATCAACATATAAAAAAACTGGGATTTAGCTCAGTGGTATAAGCACCTGCCTGGCAAGGAGAAGGTCCTGAGTTCGAGGCTCAGTACAAAAAAAAAGTCTAACTTCATTAACAGTAGGTAAATCCAAATAAAAATCATACCATATTCCCATCCATTATATAGCAAAGACATCAAACAGATGTTAAACTTCATTAACTGTAAATAGGTAAATCCAAATAAAAATCAAATCATTTTCTGTTCATTATATAGAAAAGATATCAAAAAGATGTTAAAATGTTGCTATATCAACAGAGTTAGGTTCAACCATACAAAACTGTCCATATTCAAATGTTTTTGACATGTAAGAGAAGCAGTTTCATATGAGTCAACCAAGAAAATGATTCCTTACAGCACTGACAGTAAAAATCATCCGAAAAAACGAAAAATGGAAAAAAAAGGAAAGCCGGGCATGCCTGTAATTCCAGCACTCAGAAGGCTGAGGCAGGAGAATAATTGTGAGTTTAAGACCAGCCTAGGTTACAAAGTGAGCTCAAGGGCAGCCTGAACTTAATAGCAAGACCCAGTCTCAAAAAAACAAAAACAAAAAATCAGATAGTACAATGTGGTTGTGATATATGATGTTTCAAGCATTACAATAAACTGGGTTTCTATGAGTTAACCAGATCTCTCTCTCTCTCTCTCTCTCTCTCTCTCTCTCTCTCTCTCTCTCTCACACACACACACACACACACACACACACACACACACACACACGTTAAAGGAATGTAGGAAACATGTATACTGTGACTTTGTGCAAAAATAAGTTAATGATATTATGTATTAGACATGGATACACATAAGTGGCTTTGAAAGAATCTAATAGTGAAGCAGGAGTGTACGTACCAGCTCCTGGTGGCACTTGCCCGCTAAGTGGGTCTTAGGCCTTATCTGATTTTATTTTTTAATGAAGAAAATTTGACTAAAGGTTAATATTTTAAATTCTGGGTGTTACAGCCAGGCGCAGTGGTGCATGCCTGTAATCCAAGCATTCTGGGAAGGAAGGACAGGAGGAATGCAAGTCTGACATCAGCCCGGGCAGTGTAGTGAGAGCAAGTCTCAAAAAAGAAAGCCGGGGTGGGGGGAGGGAGGGAAGGAACATTTTCAAAGGCCCTGGGTTTAATCCCTGCGTGGGGAGGGGGCAGATATTGGGAAATGGGTATTTGTCATGTGACTCTTTTGTGCACATAACATTTCACAAGACAAATGTGAAATATCTGACAGAGTAAAGCAAATCATTTGTAGTTAATGAGCCTCTTAACAGACTGTGGGTTTTGGTGACAGAAAACAAAACAAAAACCACTCCAAACCACAAAAAACCCTGGGTTTTTTCCCTAATATTAAGGGTCAGTCACCTATGAGAGATATCACTTCGGGAGATGTAGAACTTGATCATTACTATTTCTGATAGAACTAGGAAAGGAAACAAGGCACAATAAAAATATCAAAGGCAAATCCTTAGTGGTGGTGGGGTTCGTGTGAACCCCCAGTGATTGTGTTACCTCATTTTGAGAAGGTTCATAGTTCCCAGAACTTCAACAAGAATCCTACAAAATCTTAACAAAAATGAGCCTAAATTCACAGGGCTTTTCTTACTCTGTGGATCCTCCTGATCCTGGCTGGGCTCCACTGTGCTTCTCCCTGGTGACCACCTCCTGGTGATCCTCCTCTTTCCTCCTCCTTTCCCGTTTAAATAGCAGCTATTCTGCCACCCCAGGCCTCTGCGTGCAAAGGCTCAACCACTTCCTTACATTGTCATCTCATGGTCAGATTAAAAAGTTTCATCATTTTATATGGCAAACTTTAAAAAGTACACTAATTTGATTTGCTTTTAATCACAATATCCAATGCATGTTTAAATTTTAAAATCGTATTAAAGGATGACGTGGCATCTTTACATTTGTCAAAGAGGGTATGTGCTGAAAAATATGAAAACCGTAACTATGAGACCTAGAGATCAGGACAAGCCAGAAAGAAACCGGGTGAAATGGATACACTTCCAGGGGCTGCTTTCTTTACAGTTCAGTCAACCCAGAGACATCCTTTACTTTCATAAAATGGAAAGTAAAGAGGCAGATATAGGGCACAGAACTACATTAGAGTACACAAAAGCTTTGACTCCTGGAGTTTTCCTAACTTCAGTGGAGCACCAACAATCTCCAGCGTATACCACGGATGGCTGCTACAACAAAATCTCTAACACTGACCCTATAATAAACCATCTGCAGAGCCAGTCCCCAAGATGTTGCCCAGTGAGGCCCAACCCCTGGTACTCAAGCTTCTGTAAAGTCCTCTCCCGCACTGCATCAGCACTGGTCTGTATGACCAATGGAATCTGACACATGTGATGGCATGTGACTCCAAAGGGTAGATTTTAAAGAACATGTGGCTCTTGCCTGGTTCTCTCTTCAAATCATTCACTCTGAGGGAAGCCACAGCATTGCTGAGCTGGCCTATGGAGAGGCCCATGTGGTGGGAAACCATTCTCTCTTGCCAAAGTCCATCAAAAACAGAGGCCTCTGGCATGAATGGGTCATCATGCGATCACATCCTTCACCTGCTAGACCTTCAGATAAATGAGCTCCTTCTGACATCTTGTCCACAGCCTTCCAAGAAACTCTGAGCTACAACCATGCAACCAGGTTGCTCCTGAGTATCTGAGACACAGAAACTGAGAGATAACTTTTGGGATAATTCTCTGCACCTATCACTAATTAATATGTACTATACTAAAGCAAAATACCCAGATATAAAATGACTTCATTTGAACAAAACATTCAAAATAGGCACATTTAAAGAGATGGAAAGTCAACTGTTTGGTTGCCAGTGGCTGGAAGGAGAAAATGGGGGGCAAACACTAATAAGGTTTTTATTTCAAGGGTGAAAATGTTCCAAAATTAGATAATGGTAATGAGTATAAAATCTTGCGAATATACAGTACTACAAAAACTCTTGTACACTTTAAACTTTAAAGAGCTACTTACTGTAGATAAGTAGCCCTTTGTGAACTGTGAACTGTGAATTAGATGACACATCCACGGATATGGGCAGGGCAGTGGAGGCTGGTGAAAACCTGAGGGACCTGGAGGAAAACTTTTTATGAAGTTAGACGGTCTCTGAAGATGCTATACACATGGACTCCAGGAAACTAAGGAAACTCTTGGGAAACTGGAGGAAAGGGATTCATGTTAGTAGTGGCACAAAGTTTAGTAACACTGTTGCTTCTAGTATAGAAAATAGAAAATGTGCCTCAAGAACTGGGGAAAGCTAGGGGATTTCCAGGTTTAGTGCTAAATGTGCCTCCTGGATTCTTCTTGCTCCTTAAAGTAATATGTAATAGAGAGAATACGATAAAAGAAGATCTACGAACTAGAGAATCAATAATCACTTGTTTTTTTTTTGGTACCAGGGATCAAACTCATGAACTTGCACTTGCCAGGTAGGTGCTTGCTGAGCTAAACCCTCAGCCTCCAACGATCGCTTTTTAAAATTCTCAGATCTTCAGAAGACAAACAATGTTATAATTAAGAAATTGCTTCAAGGCAAATATAAAATCTAGGGCACTTCCAGAAAAACATGGTCCAATTAACAGCAAGTTAGAGAGCGATTCATTTTGAATGGGATTTGAGATATAGTTGTGGTCTACTGGCATGACTGTCAATGAGATTTCCATGATAGTCACATTTTTAAAGACCATGTTGACATAAACACTGCTAACGAGACTGAAAGGACAAGGTACAAAGAGGCCTTTGCATCCCCAGATTCCCAGAAACAGGAAACAGGCTGCAAAACACCACTCGGCTAGAAACACATACTACCTTTCAGGGACGAAGAATAACACAGAGGGCAAAGCCAAGTGTCCAGAGAATACAGCCAAGGGCCAAGAATTATTCACAAGACTTAAGTACTAATCAAGGAGCTTACATCTCATTGGATTTTAGAATTGCTATGAACTCTTATGTGTCTTCCATCCTGCACTTTTTAACAGCAGGGTCTAAGAAATTATGCGGCATTTGTTTTGCTACTGTACATTGTACCTGTAGGAAGCAAATAGGTCTTGAATGACTGGCTTTACGGACCACCACCAGAACTATCCAAGAGGGGGGTCCCTCTAGCACTCTGTTACATCCCATGTAAATTCTGAGGCTACCTTGTAAATACATTTAGTTCTGCCTGCTACACTCACGCTTGCTCATGCACTGCCCCTCTGTCATCTGCTTTGAGGGATGACAGCTGTCCTGCCATTAAGATACTCAAGCAGCCCTACAGAGAGGCCTGTGTAGTGACAGACTGAGGCTGCCTGTTATCATCAGCCATGGGACCGATTCCAGGCACATGAGCACCCATCTTGGAAGCCTTCCCCCAGTCCCAGAGGAGCCTTAAGATGGCTGTAGTGCCCTGTTTGCAAGCTTCTCACAGACCACACCACGGGCACCCAACCGCACTGCTCCCCAGTTCCCAAACCTTAGAAAATGGGAGATGAACAGTATCTGTTCATTTAAGCTGCAACAGATAACTAAAGTACCATTTCTCACTGAGCAAAAATCTGTGGGGGTACTGGGGATTGAGCCAGGCATTTTTTTACCACTGAGCTATGTCCCCAACCTTTTGTTTTTGGAGACAAGGTCTTGTTAAGTCTCCAAGACAGGACCAGAACTTTTCAGTCCCCCTGCCGCAGCCTTCCTAGGATTACTGGCATGCCCCACCCCATCCAGCCATCTCTCATAATCTTAATTCTGCTATTATGCTAAAAGGTCAATATTTGAAGGTTTCTACAGAATATTTTTCTCTTTTTTTTTTTTTTGTCTTTTTCGTTTTTATTGGTACCGGGGATCGAACTCACGACTGCCTGCTTGCAAGGCAAGTACTTATGCCGCTGAGCTAAATCCCCAGCCTATTACACATCTAAAAAAGTACCCATTTTTATCAGAATATTTTATTTCAAGAATTAACACTTTTTCCAAAAAGTAGAAACAAGAGCAACCTCCCTGAGTATAAAGAACCAATTCTACAACAAAAGACAGTTACAAAATTAAGCAAGTAGAGGTACATAATTTTCTGCATTCATTATACTCTATTGTAAATTCATTCTTAAAGAGCTCAATTATTTTGGAAGTATAATATTTCAAAGTGTTTACTGTGTCAGATGTTAGTCTGACCTGTCTTTATCAAATTCCAGGGCAATCTTTAAAGCGGTGCTGTTGAGGCCAACAGACTGCATGTTGCAGATAATAGAAACAATCACTCCTCTTGGGGGAACCTTGTTATTTATGGCCTCTGCATCCAGTTCTTCAGGAAGGACCAGCAGGACACTACTGGCACCCACCGCACCCCCAGTATGGGAAGCATAATGCCGCTGCTTCCTACAAGAACCATGCGTCTGCTTCTTTTCCACCACCCCCCATGCCATTGCATATTTACCGTCTTTATCCCAAGACATTTCTGTGTTAGGGACAGGTGTCCACATCATAACCATGGTTTCCGGCTTGAGATATCCAGGTAAAAGATCTTCATGTGAGTTCTTAAACAGCCCAGCTTGGTAACTGTACAGCATTGCATTTCCAAATTTCAGAAGATCACCCACTGTTGACAGAAAGCCACCACCAGCCCATTTATAGGAGTTATCCACATACGGTGTGTTCACGAGGCGTTTCTTTTTATTGTAAACATAAAATCTAAAATGAAATAAGAATGGTCATTAAAAATTTAATAATCTATTATTGACTTTCCATATGTTAATGAATAGGAAAATATACATGACACAGTATTTTAATTCAGAGATCACATGTAAACTACAAATTTTAAAAAATTAATTAGAAAAAAAATTAATTAGGACCAGAGATTTAGCTCAGCAGTGTAAGCACAAGGTTGTGACTTTGAGCCCCGCTATCAAAATAAATAAAATTTAAAAACGAAAAGATCAATTAATTTTTGAGACAGGGTCTCACTGTCATTCAGACAGACCATGAACTCACTGTGTAGCCCAGGCTGGCCTTGAACTCATGGCAATCCTCCTGCCTGAGCCCCCGAGTACTGGGATTGCAAGTGTACACTACCACTCCCAGCTCGAATTAACTATAAACAACAACTAATTTTTAGTATGATTCAGTAATGAGTGACACATAGGTAACTAACAATCTTGTAAATTAAAGCATAGGAAGTTATTTGTTTTCTATTACAATTACTTGCCTGTATTGTCATAAAATTTTTAATACCTTAAAAAGTGTGTTGATTAAAGCCAGGTATAGTGGTACACACGTGTAATCCTAGCACTTGGGAGGCTGAGACAAGAGGATCATCAGGAGTTGGAGATCAGTCTGGACCACATAGTGAGTTCAAGGCTAACTTGAACTACATAATGAGACTCTGTCTCAAAAACCCAATAAATAAATAATTTAAACTAAATAAAAGTGAAAAAATACCAATTAACATTGCATAGTTTATTTGCCCTGGGCATATGGAGCAACACATTATTATTTAGTAGATAGTCCCAGTTCTTGGGGTTAGAGTTGAATCATGTACCAAAATGAATCCCCCAACTAAAAAAGCATGCATACTGAGAAGTTTAGAAGCAAGCATTAGATTTCTTGGATAAAAATCCCACACAAATATCATGTACTGTGATGTGTCATGGTATTTCATCTGTGTGGTGAGAGGCTGGAGCTAACAAATAGTCTGAATCCCATTAGCAATACATTATTTGGTTAATGTATGCCATGTATTGTTCTAAGAAGTATGTAAATATGAGCTAATTTGGTTTTGCAATATTTTAAGGTAGGTGCTATTATAAATGTTTTTGTAACAATGTTATAATGTAGGTACTATGATAAATTCCTATTTTTATAGGGTGATAAACTTTAAATGGCAGAGTTGGATTTAAGCCCTTTATTAAGTCTGCAATTTTCATTCCCTCTCTGTTTCAGCATCCTAATTTGTAAAATATGAATTAAAGTACTTTTCAGAGTTTGGATATATGTATAAAGCACTTTGCATACTGAAATAATATATTTTATTACAAATTACGTTCCTCTCATTTCTTATTTACACTGCAATTAAAGCATTGCATGTGGTTTTATTAGTTATGACTTTCAATGAGGTATATTAAAGATGTTATGAAATATTTGTTAAATTGAAGACCAGTGGGTCTATAGCAACATGATTTAGCTCCTGTTTGCCTCTTTGATCTCACAAAATCTTGCCTTGTTCTTTTTTGTACCAGACTTGTGTATATTTATTTCTATTTGCAAAGACAAGCTAGTTATACTTGGGATTCGTGGCTCAATACCACTGCCTAAAACTAATGTATTTTAAATAGATCCCCTATGGGCTCTCCCTGTAACTTTGTAGCCCATCTCACTGTTTTATTTTCTTCCCGTCAGTATCTGACATTCTCCTTTGTTTGTATGTTGGGCCCTCTCTTCCCATAGTGTGTAATGAACCTAAGGGCAGAAACCTGTGCTGTTTATTGAATCCTCTGCTTAGAACAATACTTCCCCTTTAGTGCTCATTAAACACACAGAATACACAGAAATGTCACTGCTGGCCAGCACATAACAAGGTAAGGGAGAGACAAAAAAGCCCACACTGCTGCTACTCTCCAGGAGTGAATGGTCCTGATGACAACCTACAATTTCAAAGCACCATATAATCTGGGGATTTTGTTAAAATGCTGGTTCTGCTTTAATAGGTCCCAATTCTGCATTTTTAACAAGCTGGGCTCTGGGTCACCTTTCTGGCAACAGGCTGTGGGGCAACTCCTTGGAGCGCTATGAGAAGCCCAGCACTGGGGACATGGACACTGCTGAAAGGGGAGCCTCAGCAATGCAGGCTCAGGAGCCAGGAACTGGGGTGGCTGAAACACAGATCTTGAGACAGCAAGTGGCTAAAGGCAATAAGAGAGGAGCAGGCATGGGATAAGGACAAAGGATCTTCCGTACAATGCTGAGACCTTGGACTCCACTGAGCTTGCAGAATGCTCCTATCTTCCAAGAGAGGAAGGTCTCCCTTTCTCACCACTGCTGAACTACGTGAACAGTCCACATTCTTTTTTTTTTTTTTTTTTTTTGGGCACACATCCTTTCTCTTCATTCTCGTTTTTCTGAGACAGGGTTGACTATGTGGCTGAGGTTGGGCTTGAACTCATGCCAGCCTTCCTGCCTCAGCTACCACACCTAGTGCGGTGCCGTCACGCCTAGCCTTAGGGATCTTTCAGTTCCTTCCTTGCAGTCTTCACCTAACTTCAGTTCTGTAGCACTGAGACTGACACTTCCTTGCAGGCATGGGGTTCTTCCGGCTCCCTCTCCGGACCTCAACCGTACCATTCTCTACCAGTCCTGTGAACAGTGGTCCAGTCACACCAGGTCTTCTCTTCCACAGAGAGATCTACAAATCTGCCTCTGCAACTTCAAACTGATGACTGCATTTTCTAGTAACCTTTGCTGTTTTCTACTTTGGTTTGAGGGAGGAATGAATTTATATTTATCTGAATCATGTGTCTTTTCCCTCTCCAAATTATACTCTCCCGTCAAAACTCACAATTTTTGATGGACTGCGGCATATACAGTTTGAAAAATGCCTCCTTCCAAAATTCTTACATGTCTCCTAGAAGTGTGAGTCATAAGACTGGGCGAGGCAGTTAGAAAAGGGGCAGCTACAGCTGTGTGCCTGAAGATTAGAAAGAAGAAGCCTAAAAGGGATCTTAGTATACTTTGAGAACACCTGACTGAACAAATGGGCTTCTCGTGTAAAACTTAACATCTAAAACTAAATCTCTTCCAACCCTTCCTGTCATATTTCTTTTCTCCTCGTAATAAACACCATGGAGGGCTTCCCTACCCTCAACTCTTGCGTGCAATATGTTAAATCCTCTACTCTGTCTTGCCCTTCTTCCTTCCTTCTATTCCTATGGTCCCTCCCATATGTATTTTATGCTCTCATTACTTTCTAACTACCACCTATGCCACCAATCAAGAAAAAATTAAATCTCAAAGAACATACACATTAGAAATGTGTTCTGACTGACATATATATTTTTTAGAGTGATGGTCAAGCTTGTGTAAAGCAGAAAGCCAGTATTTTTGGATAACCACCTTTATGTAATTAACAGTAAAGCATTTCAACCACTTGAATTAAGGCTAGGTATTAGGGCCCTTCAACACTCCTTTATGCTTTTTATTTTTATTTTTTGGTACCAAGGACTGAACTCACGACCTTGCACTTGCCAGGTAGGTGCTTATGCCACTGAACTAAATGCTCAGCCCGATATTCCTCCCTTAAATATAAAAATATGGAGGATCCTTGACTCTTAGAAATCTAAACTTCAGACAAATTCTAGACTTCAATCTTGTTCCTTTAGGTAGAAAACTAATCAGTAGCTTTTCATGAAAATAATTTTGTTTGGCTGAATAATATAAACTTTGCAAACTTTGCAATTGCAAACTCCCAGGCAACTTCTGTTTAACACCGTGGAACACACACACAGTTCCTGAGTAGGTACTAAGTTGTCTGTGTAACTGAAGAACTGACAGAGTGACTCCAGATGACAGCCTCTTCCTGTTTATCTTGAAATCTCCAGATTTTCCTTGAGATTGTTATACAACCATAGACCTTTACATCTATAAATGTGGACATTCAAAACACTTTTATTTTAAAAATTCTTCTTAAATGTCTTTACAAACAAGTATATTATCACTTTATACCTTACTGTCACAAAAAGTTCTAAAACTCTGAATTTAACATGTATATTGTAAGACGCCAGGAATACAGCTCAGTGGCAAAGCACTTGCCTATCACCAGTGAGGCTCTAGGTTCAATCCCCAATCCTAAAAAATCCCAAACACCTGGACAATATAGCTTTTTTTTTTTTTTTTTCCTTTTTTCCTTTGAGACAGGGTCTTAGTAGACAGCTCAGGCTGGCTTTAAACTCAGTCTGTACCTTAGGCCAGCCTAAACTTACCATGACCCTCCTGCCTCAGCCTCCCTAGTACTAGGATTATAAATGGGCACCATATTGCCTAATCATAAAATGCCTATTGTAAAACCCAATCCCACTTTAACATTTAATTATTAATACTTAAGCTGAACCATAAATACAGTATCTCTGACCTAAAAGTGTGGGAGACAACTTGAGTGACTCCTCTTGAATGCAGAACAATTGTTGCAACTTTGATTTTATGGAGATTTATTTGTTTATGCTGATATGTAGAGCTGACTATGGTATTTTCTTCTCTCTTCAATTGGCTCTAAGCATTGCAAATAAGGCTAGTGAGGTACTGGCATGTAATCTCTAAAGCCATCAGGCAGTCTCCTGTTTCCTCACATAGTGCTCTCTCTAAATATATAATCACAGAAGGATGGTACAGCCAGTCAACTGGGAATGTCAACTAGGTATGAGCCTCAAGATAAAAAGGGTATGACTCCCCAGAGCACAAAAGTTTACATATCAGAAACCAAAGCAACAGCCTCCTTAAACAATTCAGTTGCTACCTTAATTGAATAATGCAAATTGATCCTTCTGCATATCCTTATCTCTGCATTTTGCAAAGATGCTTTTCTCCCTAACTGGCTAGCCAGCTCAAGTTACATAATTGGCGCCATCCTCACTGTCATTCATCCTCAAGCTATCCCCCTTCTTCACAAGATAATATATTCTGGGAGAGGTCTAGGATCAGGGCCTTTGTCTGTCCTCACGGGGATGGGACTTAGGACCCCTTCCTTGGCTGTCCTTAACTTGGAACATGTCTTGGTGTCTTTACTCTCACCGTGGGTTGCATTGGAGGTGGTAGACTGAAATTAACTTGCTAGGATTCCAGTAACATCGCAGTGGGATTGTAAATATAATTTTTTGGACTGTGAGGAAGACTAGAAAAGGGATTACAATACTTGGATAACTGTACTCAATATTTAATATAATATAAACGCATAAAAAAGCTTCATAAGGAACAATGCTTAATTCTGAAAGACACTAAGAAATAAATAGAAGGTAAAGGCCATATCTGTAATACATCAGAAAACATCCATTTATTTCATTTTAGTGCATCGAATTATAAACAGATTTTTTTCTTTTGTGGGACTCTACCACTAAGCTACATCCCCTGCCCCAAAACAGTACTGTTTCATGCAGTTTGCCCAACACACATAAAATACTTAACAAGGTCTAACAGGCTAATGCACTAGGGATTTTGCTACCAACAAACTTTTTCAGCAGCAAGAACATTTACTACTGTATCCTTTTGCTTAAAGACATACCATTTAATTGCCTACAGAGAATATATTTGTTATACAAAAGCGATACTTTTTTTTCCCCATAAGGAACCCATGTTTCCACACTTCCATTTGAGAAAATCTGTTTTATTTTGGACAATGTACTCAGCTAAACACAAATTCCTTTGCCTCCCTTATACCTAAGAGTGGTCTGATGGCTAAAATGCTGATTCAACAAATCTAAGATATAGTCTGAGATATTCTGGGAAAAATACTTTAAATGGGTGACAGACATCAAGTAGCACTATGTTAAACATATATATATATATATATATATATATGAAGATACTTTTTCTTAGGATATCATTCTATAAAGTCTTGGTTAGTGTATATTATAAAACAGATTTATGATTACGCCTAGGAAGGCAATTGGAAACATTTCATTTTGTACAAAATGCTACCACAAAACAAATGGATAGAAAACATGTGGTTGCTATATTTTATTTTAAGGTTTTTGGGGCATGTATCTTTGAAAAGAATGTTTTTACAGAGTTCCCTCAAAAGCTAGTGCTTTTAAATTCCTTTCAAATAATTTTTTTTTTTTGCTTTTTAAAACAGTATATATTACTTGTACGTATTAATGAAATTCAGTGCAACATTTCAGCATATGCATGGTGTCTGACATTAGAAGGACATTTTGCTTTAACAGAAAAGAGGATCCTGCCTTGCATCTGTGGTATGATTCCACAATACAAAAAAATTGCACTTTTGATTTTTACATACTTATGTTAACTAAAAGTTGCAGCAAGACCCCTTATGGATAAAAGTTGCAATATAGATTACATGTATCTGTCAGAAAGGAATCAAAATTGAACCAAAAGTGACTTCCAATTCAACTATTCAACTAGTTAACACTGCCACCAGAACTGATGAGTTGGACATATTTGTCTTGCATTAATCCCAGCAAGGGCCTGGTAAGAGCTTCTGCTGAGGTCACTCTTTGCCCAGCAAGGCCTGCATGCCAGGGTTACTGTAAATATGAAATGAATACACCTCAGTTCAGCTTCTTGCCTCCTGACAAGATAGTCACATATTACACATAAGGTAAATCTCAACCCCAAGTCAGGAAAATCAGAGTAGCTTTATCATAAATTTAGGGCTGCAGCAAAAAGAGAAAGACATAATTTCTATGAGTGTGTGCAAATGAAACAAAGGAGAAATTCAGTGATGACTAAGACACAGAAATGCACTAAGAAATGAAAGTGACAATGAAATCACACAGCTTATACTCAGCAGTGCAAACCTAGATGCTCACCAAGGAACAATGAAAGGAAGACTGAAAGGATTATCATTTTTAATGTTAAGTTTTTGGAAGACGGCTATATCAACTTTCATTCTATCATAATTGAGGGGACCCCCCCCCACCATGGTCATAGAAACGAGGTCATTCACTCAACTAAATTCCTGAGGTGGCAACCTGAATGACAGAAAAAGAACCAGGGCCGACATTTTTTTTTTTATTTCTCCCTTACATGCAAAAGTTGGGTACTGGGCAAAAAAGGAGAGACAAGACAGATGTCTTGTTAATGTGATCTATCAGACCCCCTGTCCTGAGGGAGAGATAGTTTCCTGCAGAATGAGATGAAGGAGGTGGTTCTGCTCAGCAGTCAACAGAGGCCACATCTCCACCTGCAGTGACTTGATGGCTTCTGTGTCCTTCTCGTGGGCAGCCATGACCAACGACTGTAGCAACAGAAAGAGCTCCTCAGGAAGTTGGCTGCCACTCTCCTGCCCGTGACTGTCGAAAGCTTCCCAGGAATACTTCTCCAGCGTCTGGGCATGCTCGGGCAGCAGCTTCGCAGGTGGTGGCTGTAGCAACAAGAGGAGCAACACTCGGGTCACCTCGCAGCGGATGAGCACATCGGAAAAGGCGCCCAGTGCGGTTGGAGAGGGCGTGGTGGCAGCCACAGCGACAGCATCCACAGCATCAGCAGCAGCTGCTGCACCAGTAGTAGCATGTGGGCCAGCGGGGTTCGTGGAGAGCAGGACCGCGGCACCGACAGATCCGGGCTGGGACCCTGGAGGCAGCTGCGGTGGTTGCTGGCTCTGGGACCCTGGATGCAATGGCAGCAGAGGCGTCTGTGACTGCGGGTGCAGCTGCACGGGGTGGCCACCATGCTCCAGCGCCAGGCCCTGCATGCGTGTAAAGATTGCCAGAGCGCCTGTGTAGTCGCGAGCCAGCAGCAGGCAGGAGGCAGCGTCACCGAGCGCCTGTAATGCGGCCAGGGGTAGCAGGGGCAGCTGCAGCTGGGCTGCACGCTGGAAGTGACTGGCAGCGGTGGCCGGCTGGCCCAGGTCACGCAGGGCGGCGGCCAGCTCGAGACACAAGGCGGCGGCCGCAGCTGGCTGTCCGAGCTCCAGGTGCAGGCGCACGGCAGCGCCCAGGGCGCTGGCGGCCGCCTGCAGAGGTTCACCATACGCTGCCGGGCAGCCCAGGCGCTGCCGCGCGTCGCACTCCTGCCTCAGGAAGAGGCGCGCGGCCTCAGTGAGCGCCAGCGCCTCGCCAGGCCCGTGGAAGAGCGCCTGCTGGCAGCGCGCCACGGCCAGCTGGCACCACGCCGCGTAGGGCAGACACTCCTGGGCACGCAGCTCGCGACCCAGCTGCGCAAACTGCTCGCTGGCCTCCGCCACGTTGGGCTTCCGCAGAAACCGCTTCTTCAGCTTGTTGGACACCAGCCGGTACCGGGCCAGAAAGTCCCCGGCCTCGGCGCCTGCGATGGCGCCGCCAGAGCCAACGGCGCCACTAGAGCCGACGCCCCCGGTGCTCCCAGCACCCCCGATGCCCCCAACGCCCCCACCCACCAAACCGGAGGCCGAGGCCGCCATGCTGCCCGACCTGAGGACTTCGGGGTCCCCGCGACGTGCCGTCCTGTAGCGTGCGTCTCATTACGTCACATAACGCTGGGGCCAGAACGGCACAGACGCGACGCAACGCCACGCCAACCAATCACCGCGACCGCCAGAGTCTGCGCCTGCTCTAGGCGGCCCCGCCCCCTCCCCATTGCCCTTTTAAAGTAATTACAAAAAAAATCAGAATCAAGTATTAGAGTTTGAAATAGATACTGTATCAAATAAAATAAAAACAAAGCAAACATAACATTTGCTTAGGCAGTGATATTTTCTTGCTTTTTTAAAAATTGTTTTGCTAACATACGTGGTCTCACCTCAAATTTTTGATCTTCCTGCCTAAAATGAATCAGCTATCATGTCAGAATTATCAATAATCCTATCAAAAAAACCCAAAACAAACAATAACAAAAATCCAACCAACCAACCTCAGAGCTGAGAGGAAGCTTCAGCATTACAAACTCATGGGGATTTTTTTCCCCCAAAGAACGGAACTAAAATGAAATTAACTCACCATCATATGCCACCTGTTGACTTTGCATCTTACTAATTAGAAGACAGCAAATGACTGAACCTTAGTGTTCAGGCTAGAAACAAAGCTCAAGGAGTATGAATGGCCTCTTCCCCTTTATGTACAGACCTAGATAGTTCTTTTTAAATCAGAATATGTCCATGTATGTATTCATCTTTACTACACAATCTTTTTAGATTCAACACTGACATTTGTGTCTTTTCTTATGTTTTCCAGTAGAATATAAAGACAGACCTAAAAGTAATGCCTGGCTGGACTATTTTTACACACAAACGTCTGCACACATTCAGTATGAAATAGTGAAGAACCACAGGCTTTTGGAAAAAAAATTAAAATTCACTGCTTGTTACTAACCTACTTTCTTTTGCCCCCTCCAAGTCTCTCAGGTAGTAAGACTGACTTTTCACTGCACATTTAATTTTTTAATAAGCTGATGATGTAAAATGATATATTCATTCTTTCTAAAAACCAAATAATAAAACAAAACACCTCAACTGTACAGCTTCTATTAGTAATTATTCTCAAAATTCTCTACCAATGCTCCATTAACAGATTACTAGTAAAGATTCTGATAAAATTTTAGTTTCATATATTTACCTGATGGTTTTCATTTTCTTTTTTACCTCAACCCACAGTACAGAATACATTCTCATTTGGACCAAATGAACACACAAATGTGAATGTGCAGGTGCTGTAGAATAATATACTGGTGGAGGCAGCCATATCACCAATTCCTTTCGTCTCCCTTAGTAAAAGAGCTGTAGCAAGGTATATGCCTGCTCATCTAAAAACTTTTCCTAGCTTCTCATCACTAAGTGTGATCATATGTTTACAATTTTTGTCACCAGAAGATGAACAGAAAAAGAGTGAAATACTTTCAAGTCTGGATCTTAAGGTCTGAGAGCATTCTCTCCCAACTCCTTCTCTTTTCAGGAGCCGGGACACCAGTGGGGATGCCACTGAGTTTCTCACACCCAGGTGGGACAGAGAAGAACCAGGTAAGAACCAGGTCCCTACGGGCTGGTCTGAACTGCTGCCCTCACGAATGTTACCTGTTAAGAAGTAACCTTTGATTTTCTTCCACTATCTTTTGGTGTCTTTTTCTGTATTAGCCTAGCCTTTGCCCTATCATCTGTTTTGGGGTTTTTTGATAGGAAAGGGCATTTCATCTTTTCCCTGGTTACATACAATACAAATTAATACTTTCTACTCTGCTTTGCACTATTAGAAAGAAAAAAAAGAGAGAGAGAGAATTGTTGGGATCCAACCCATTGAACAGACTTCAACTCAGTAACTGACCACTATACTAGGAAGAAAAAAGGATAAAAGGAAAAAGAATAAAGAACATAAACATTTAGCAAATTGAATAAATCTAACCATAAACAATCAAGGGATAATCAAACTGGTCAGTTTAACACTAGACATAAAGTCCTTGCCGTATACTTTTTGAATTAAAAATTTCAAATAAATTTAAAAAGTAAAACAATTCTTTTTCATTTGCTAATACTTCAATTTTTGTTTTCATTTTCTGGTGTGTTGAAATCTTCCTGTTATAAAATAAGCTCAATTTTTAATAATTTAATATTCAAATGAATTATTATGAGTAGTTTTAAAGTTTACCAGTTTAAACAAGAAATGCTATGTATCTGGTTCACATTATTTTTTTTGTGTGTGTGTGTGTGTTTTTCATTTTTATCGGTACCAGGGATCGAACTCACGACTGCCTGCTTGCAAGGCAGGCGCTTATGCCGCTGAGCTAAATCCCCCTGGTTCACATTATTTTAATCAATTTAAAATTTTAGCATTTCAGGGCTGTGCTTCAGTTATTTTGATGCTATATTTATATAACTATAATTTCATAGAAAACTCCATAATATAAACAATAAGCTAAATTTAAAAATATTAAAAGACCAAAACTCTGACTAAATCCTTTTCTATTACAGTAGTAAAAGTATCAAATATGAAATATCCAAAATCATACTATTTTCCTCTTAGGATAAAAGTTCTAATTCTAGTTCAAAATTCATTAAAGTGTTCTGAATCCTCTCCATAAATTATATTAAAATCTATATAAACAGTTTGCCTAGGATTGTGCCTGAATATCCAAGTCAAGCTTACATAAATTAACTCTAATATAGTTATTTAACATGTAAAAGTTGTAAAAGAAAAATGTAGCTCTCTAGCCCGGCTGGCCTCAAATTTGAGACACTGTCGCCACCGTCTCCCAGGTGCTGGGATTACAGGTGTGTGCCACAAGAGCTGAAGTTTTAAATCTTAATCCTTATAAACCAAACGTGCCTAAGGATGCCTCTCTGTAAAACAGTTCTTTATACCTAGATATATATCAAATGTTTATTTTAGTTAGGCAGAACTGACTACTATATTTTCATAATGCAACATAAATGTGACGCTTATTAATGAGACGTGGTAGGGGTCTGCGTAAACCAAATAAGGACATCTAAATGTTCACTATTAATACATAAAACTCCTTGATTAAAAATATACAAAATATAAATAAGCAACATAGTATATCACTGCATGGTTTTAATATTTTATATGCTTAATATTCCCAACGCAAGACATTAAATAATGCCTGTGACTGATTTGAACTCACTGACTACAATATAAATCCAAAAGTACACAGTAGTGTAAGTCAATAAAGGAGAAGGCATAGAACTTTTTTGTGTGTTTTGTTTTGTTTTGGGACAGGGTCTCACTGCAATGCAGGCTGGCTTTGAATTTGCTATGTAGCCCAGAATGGCCTCAAACTCCTAACAATCCTCTTGGCTCAGCCTTGTGAGTGCCGGGATTACAGGCAAATGCCACCATGCCCCGTCAAGAAATTTCTTATAATGGGATGCCAACAAACAAATGTTAAATCAGTGATGGCATCAGAAAGTCACCATTTAGTAAGCATCACTGCAATAAGTGATTCAGTCATGAATCATCAAGGGATGTGAAAACAAGCAGAAAGTTCAATGAGAAATTGGATTTTTATAGACTATCTCCCCAAAATATACTTGTTAATAACAAAGGGAAAAATAGTAACTCTACAGTGGAGAAAGCTGACAGGTACATTCAATAAAGTCATTAAAATAGCATCATTAATCACAAGACAAGCTGTTATCTTATGAGTTCTGAGACATGATAACTTTAATATAAATGGGATCCAAGATTGGTCCCTGAACCCCAACTTCTAAAAAGAACACTATTGGAACAACAGGCAAAACTATAATATATGGTGTAGATTTGATTAAACCACTGTGTCAGTTTCAGTTCCTCGAATGTCCTTGTTTTTAGAAAATAGGGTATATCTGGAACTTATTTCCATATGGTTCAAAAAAAAAATAACACAGATAATGCAAACGTGGTAAAACAATAACACTTGGTGAACTCGGTTGAAGGGTATATGTGAATACTTTACACTATTCTTGCAACTTTTCTGTAATGATGAAATTATTTCAAAATAAATATTCAACATATTCAAAATAAGTATTAAACCACATAAACACAATAAAAGACAAACAAGTAAAACAGCTAAAATGTAAGCAAAGAGATGACTAGAGCATAAATTACAGGTACGATTTTGGCTTATTTATGTGCTTATTATTGCTTTTACTTAAGCATCATGAGGTACTTTACAAGCATGTTTTATTTCCTTCATTTTACTGTATTTCACTTATTTGTTTTGATTGTTTTTGAGGCCAGGTTTTGCTATGTACTTTAGGTTAGCCTTCAGTTCATTATGGAGCCCAGGCTGATCTCAAGCCTGCAACAATCCTTTTACCTCTGCCTCCTGAGTGCTGGGATTACACATGAGGGCTGCCATGCAGTTTCCTCATTTTACAGATAGAAAAGTAAGACATTAACAAATCGTGGCAAATTTGTTTTGGAATGGAGAAATGAAAAAGTTTATGTCTAATTGGTAACAGCATTAAGATGCAATATAGCTAGATATACCAAGAGGTTATTTACTTACCTTGCTCTGTTGTAAATGACAGGCTCGTTTTCCTCCTGTACGGTTGTCAGCATATCCAAGTCATGGAATATTTTCTGCATGTAGTCCAAATACTTATATCCTGATGCTCTTTCCACTATGGCTGCCAGGAGGGTGTAGCCAAAAGTTGAATACAGAAACTGACTACCTTGAGACATCATTGCAAGGAGGAACAAAAAGAAAATGACTATTATTCAAAAAGTGAAAACAAAGAAAAAAGCGAGAACTATTTTCTCACTAAAAATAGATATACTCTGAAAGCTCAAATATTTTACTTCAGCATTTAGAAAAAGATCACAAATGATACATCAACAAAAATAGTTAACTCTGTAATGGTCTTGCTTGTTCCATTTCCCCAAGAAAAAAAGTGTATCTACTTAAAAATTCACATGGATATATTCCTTTCTTTGATAAAAATATAAACAAATAATCCTACCTCAAAATGAAACAAAATTCCTTCAAACTGACAAGGGGAAGGAAAATAAATTCTTTAGTAAATTGTGTTGTTTTCAACTATCTACTAACCATAGTTTAAGGTATCAGAGTTCTGATTTTAATAAAATATATGGGAGCATAAAAACTTTGTTTCAGATACACATTGAAATATAAATATATTGGATTTTATTATGTACGATAGTATAAGCAAAAACCTTTTAAAGACAAGGAGATTATACAGAAACCATTGTTCATTTTCTGTTAGTCGATTCTAAATACTCTGTAATACTGTCATTCTCTTAAATGGTTTTACATTGTTTTGATATAGTTAATGCTACAGTATACGAAGTTGTACTCAAGGATTTCAAGGAAAGAGTCAATATGGTAACTACTTTTGGGTCGGGATTATCTGGTGGTGAAACACTATTCTGCTTAAATGGTTATGTTTTGATCTGTGCTGTTTCGCTGTTATGCCCTCTTTTATCTCAATCTCCACTCCATTATTTACTTTTTTATTTTTATCCGTTTAATTAAAGGGAAAAAATAGCAGGATATATTATAGTAACCCACTTTGACTTTCTATTATCTCGATTTGAAGCCCTGTATTCCTCTCACCATCTTGTTTTTGACTGATGTTCCCCTATTCTGTTTTGCTGGATAGTATCAGGTTCGAAAGTTTAGGCATCAGCTGTGAAGATAATGAGATTCATTATAACGCCCATTCTCATTGACTTTTATCTACTTTTGAAGACCTACAATGTCTCCAATGTTTTGGTTTTGTCGGTTTTGTTCTTTACTGTTTTGTTCAACTGTATTATAACTAATGATATAGGCAATTCTATTAGAGATAGCGGGAGGCATTATGGTAACCATTGTTGATCACCTTGTATTATGTTTTTACATTATCTATTATGTCCACTCTTTTGACTTGACCGATTCTGTTCTGTTATGTCACATTTGGTTTTACTCTCTTCCAAAAAAGCAATAAGAACCATGGGAGCAATGAAACCCAAAATGTGTAATAGTCATTGTACAAAAGAGAGGAAAAGAAAGTGCTCTAAACTATATAACTGCATGTATATTTAAGTGTATAAGATAGAAAATGATATCACAGAGTTTTATTGGATCATTGAACAGAACTGTTTGCAGTATCATTGTTGGAATGTCTACTCTACAAGCTTTAATTTTGTGACTTGAACAATTATTTCTAAGATGGCAATATGTAATCCATTAACTAGTGATTTCCTACTGTTCATTTTTTTTTCTGTAAATCTGTATAACTTGTACCCTTTCACTGTTTTTTTTTATCTTTTCTCCTTAAATAAAATTAAAAAAAAAAGAAATATAAATATATACATATATATGATTTGAAATATATAATCTTGTATCACTTTGGCTTCGGCCCTTAAGATTTTATGAACCATGCTAAATATGGGTGGAAACCTTATTTTTAAAGACAAAAACCCATAACTATATTAAAATCTACTCAAGGGTTTTGCCCTTAAACTTGGAATGTAGCCCAGGCTGGTCTTTAAACTCGTAATCTTACTGTCTGTTTCTCAAATTCTGAGGATTACAGGTATGAGCTCCCATCCTCAGTCGACACTAATTTCTCTTTCTTTCTTTCTTTTTTGAGATAGGATCTCATTATGTAGTGCAGGCTGGCCTTGAACTTGCTTATGTAGCCCAGGTAAACTCAATAGTGATCCTCCTGCCTCAGCGTCCCAACTGCTTCAATTATAGACATGTGCCACCATGCCTGGCTTCACACTAATTTCTTGAAAGAATGAAGTATATTAGCAATACTTATCCTTTCTACTTTGGACCAGATTTTATTTGCAGAACTATTTTTCTGAAATTTCCTATAATTTTCTATGAACATGTATTTTTTACTTTTTTTTTTTTGGTTAATAGGGATTGAACCTTGGAGACACTGAGGTAATCTGTCTGTCTGTCTATCTTTCTATCTTATCTATTTTGAGACAGAGTCTCACTAACTTACCCAAACTGGCCTCAAAATTGTGCCATCGTCCTGCCTCACCCTTCTAGGAAACTAGAATTACAGGTGTACACTACCACCCCTTGCTTCCACAAATATCCTGATACTGAGAAGCCTCTGAGTGACTGGGGGGCTTTCCATGATGATAAATCTAAACAATCAAGTGCCTGAAAGCAGGGCTTTGTTAGACACCACGGACAAAAACGCAGGCACTGGACTGGCCCCACCACCATTAACAACCACGCCGAACTTGGATTTCCAGAAAGTCAGTACTTCCATAAGGTGTTTGTTAAGAAAAGGTATTAATAATACTCACCAGGCTTAAAGAACAATGGATCATTCTTAAACAATCTTAAGGATTCAATGGAATTTTCAAACTTTTCTTTCAAATATAATTCGCCTTGTTCAAAATCGTTTTTCTTCTTGCCCGGTTTTGAATGACGGCCCCTGGCTTCACTGTCTGGCTCTGTCTTGGCTTTCACGAAGTCTTCCTTTTCATTACTTTTGCTTCCTTTTTCTTTAAATTCTTTTTCTTGGTCAGATGCCAGTGTCCCTCTGGTCATAATCAAGGCTTTGTATGCCTTCTCTTCTTTCACCTTTTTCATGTCCTTTTCATAATGACGAATTCCACTTAAATGGGAAATCAATAATCTTGTTGTGACAGAAACCTAATTGTAAAAACGTGAAAATTAAATTACAGTATTAAACTGTACAATCACCAGTTGATAGCCTTGGAATGAATCAATCCTTACTAATATTTTCTGTTTTGAACTGGGCTGAAAAATGTCATGCACAGACCCTTATCCTAATATTTCAGAAAAATACCCATCAGATTATCAACTGTATTTTATTTATTTATCGGAACTGGGGATCGAACTCACGACCACCTGCTTGCAAGGCAGGTGCTTATGCCACTGAGCTAAATCCCCAGCTCCAATCAACTGTATTTTAAAAAATCCATTAACAAAAACTGAAGTCAAAGTAAAGAACCTATGAAAGATTAAGGTAGAGTTCTAACATAATTTATCATGCACTAGTAAAATAAATTGAGTTACCTTTTCACCCTCATACTCTTTTTCTGGGAATTCAGGAACATAATGTTGCACAGGAGTATCAAGATCCAGCTTCCCTGCTTCCCACAGTTTGGCAAGAGCAACCATGGTAAGGCTTTTGCTGATGCTGGCAATTCTCATGACTGTCTCTGGCTTACAAGGCACACGGTTCTCAATATCTGCATAGCCTAGGCCTTAGCGGGAAACAAAGTCTCTATTAATAGTTTCACGGTCAAACAAGCCCCCCAAAACTGCAATCATCCTATCCTAAAAGATCCTCTGTATTTATCTAAAGAAAAAATGATATCCCATTTCCACAAGTTACTTGAAACTGGATATGTCAGGTGAGAATATCAGCAACACTGATAACACTGTCTAACAATTTAATCACACAACTAAACTGAAACTGTACCATGTACACTTTTCCCACTGTTTCAGATACTGATTTTTCTTAGCTTATCTTGACAATTTCTTTATTCTACGTTTTAAATAATTAACATCCTTTAAATAAAACATCATCATTCTTTGGATTGTATTCATTCTTTTATGAGTGCATTTCCACTGAATTGCTTAAAATATAGTCACTCAATAAAAACAAACATGAAGAGATCTGCAAATCCAGCTAACCACCCATTTCATTTGGCTGCAAATCAGAAGAAAAACTATGCACTGTAAAGCTTTTGGAAAAAGTTTTGTTTGGTTTTCACGTTCTGCACAGGGTACAAGTATGGAAATGTAAGAGATATAAGAGCATAAGTCTAAAGGTAACCCATTTGGGACACCCCTATCTCACAGGAGCTTTTCCTATTCCCCCCAAAATTTCCCTACTCTTAAAAAAAGAACGTGAATCTGAAAAGACACAGAGTACAATGACTTTTTTAAAACTGGGGGGAAAATATATGTTATGCTGAAGATACTTGTAGAAAAATAAAGCCCCTGCAGGGTGTGGTGGCACACACCTGAAATCCTAGTACTTGGGAGACAAGAGGCAGAACTACCACTGTGAGTCTAAGGTCAGCCTGGGCTACATGGGAAGTTCAAGGCCAGCCTGAACTACAGAGTGAGACCTTGTCCCCAAAAAGAAAAAAAAAAAAAAGAAAAGAAAAGAAAAGAAAAGAAAAAGGAAAAAACAAAAGCCCTTACTCATAGTTTATGTTATTAAACTGATTATAAGATTTTTTATAAAATAAGTGCCCTACTTCCTCCATCAAATTCCCCTAAAATTGCTACTTTCTTTAAATGAGCTCTAAAATGTCATTTACTAAAAGAAAGATTCTTAAAAATCTGGGGTAACTAACTGGACTCGTTTCTGTGCAATGAAGTTATGTTACAAACTGTGCTTTATGTTACAAACTGCTTTGATAAAATTATTGTAAAATTTAAAAAACAACAAAAAATGGATATGCCATTTAATACCTGTGGCTGGTAAAAGGGGTAATAAAATAAACCATAAACTCGTTAAGGATAAGGACTATTGTGTATCCCTAATATTCAGTAGAGTGCCTTTTCCAAAATAGAAGAGCCAATCGTGAACAGAATTTGAAAAGAAAAATATACAAATTCTAAAATTTCACCTACCCATTTTAAGGGCTACCAATACACAACATCATATTATTTGATGGTGAAATGGATTATTCTATAGACAATGTTCAGACTAATAATCCAATCCTATGAGAAAAGTGAGGAAAACCATTTTTAAGACTCCAATTACTTTTATTATGTTTTAATTATTCATTTATTTTTGATGCTGTGGTTTGAACCCAGGGCTTCAAACATGATAAGCACACACTCTAATATTGAACCACACTGCTAGCTCTATTAGTTATGATTTTGTGTGATTAAAAAATAAAATTCTTCGCTCTATACACGCGTTGTCTCCACAATATGTATCATTTTATGTAAACCGTACCAAGTTCATTGGATTCACTACAACCAGCAAAATGTCAATATTTTATTTAGCAATCGACACTAAAGTCACTAAGTTAACAGTTTTTTGAGCCTACCTTCCGACCAGACTTCTCTTCCGTCTACAGAAACTCCAACCACTATGCCGGGTGCGCCCACCTCATCCTAAGATCGAAGGGGAAAAGAAAGGAGAGTTCAAAGACAGGTTGAATCACCCCGCAAGCCTTCAAAAGCTTTGAACCGTGCCATCGCAGGAACCGCCCACCTGCCACGCCCACTCATGAGACCACGCCCATCCCGAGGTCCACGCCCGCCCAGACCGCCAGGCCGCGCTTCGCGAGCGGTGCGTGAGCACCGCACATTGGCGGGTCACGGCAGGCCCAAGGCAGGAGGTGATCTCACCCGGACTTGGGCAACCCCGACTTGGGCAACCTCGACAGGGCGAGACAGTGGCCAGGCGTCGGGACATGCCAAGTCCTTCTCGGAAGCCGGCCCGCCACCACCGGGGTGGGGTGGGCTCTGCCCCGTCCCAGCGACCCCCGCGGAGCCGCGTTCCGGGGTACCCCGGATGGGGCGCTGCGCCCCCGCCGCCTACCTTGATTCTGTGCAGCAGGTCGCGGCTGCTCTCGATGGCTCTGGCGAAGCGCCCGGCGCAGGGCAGCGCGGGGGTCTGCGGAGGCCCCGCGGTGGGGAACAGGGTCGGGTCCAGCAGCGGTTCGGCCGGAGGCGCCGGCTCCGGGTCGCTGGTCCCGGAGGGCATTGCGGGGGTGGCGCCCCTCAGCCCGCCCGCCAGCTTCGCCCCGAGCACCAACCCCAGTCCCAGCCCCAAGCCGCCTCCGACCCAGCCGTGGCCGAGCGACACGGGACCAGCCCGCTGGTGGGCTCCGCGCCGCCTGCAGACCCAGGACCGGGCCTCGGGGGTCGCGACGCGCGCCGCCGCGCCTGACAGGACCCGCTGCATGGCTCCCGCACTCGGTCCGCGGCGGCCGAGTTCGCTCAGGCGGGAGAGTGGGGGGCGGCCTCGCAGACATGCGCAGTTGGTGCCCGACGCAGGCGCGCAGGCCGCGTGGGGCGTCGGCTCCTCTGCTTGTGTTTTCTCCGTCTTCTGTCTTCCTTTTCTGACCCCCTTCGTTCTTTTCCTCTCTTCTCTCTCTTCATTTTTTTCTTCTGCCTGCTCTCAGACAAAATGTCACTTCTGAGCAGGCCTAGTCCGTGTCCCGAGGGAGCTCTTCCTACTCCAGCTTGTCCCCAAAGTACGCACCCCCTAACGCCGGGCAGCTCCGAGCCGGCCAGGTTCCTCACCAGACTGTCACTTTTGGATTTTTAGTTTCTCGAACCCTGGCACATACCAGGCTTTAAAAAAAATTTTTTTCCCCATCTTCCATTATGACTCAGTTCCCATTTCCCTAAGCTCCTCTTAAGCTCTAACTTTTGAGCTCTAGCTCCGCACCGCATCCCATAGGAAGTTGGGTTTCGGTTGAGGAGAAGAGGGAGAGGGAAGCAGATTTAATTTTAAAAGAGCAGCATGACGGATCCTTGTGATGATGGAAATGTTCTGCCTCTTTTAACTTTTAAAACATTTTATTAGTGCATGTTAGCAGCGTAGACAGTTTACACTCATCTTGGGCAGTGAGTGCATATTTGTGCTACAGCTTTTTTTTTTTTTAAATCGCCTTTCCTTCCCTGTCCTCGAATTCTCCCTATCCCAAGTTTTATTCTTGTTGATTTTTTTAATCAGTTCTGGCTGTGGCATACGATGTTTACATTCACTGAGGTCATTAGATTCCTGCACATGGTGTATCTGTAGTCTACTTATTTCCCCTTTCCCTCCCTCTGACTCCTCTCCCTTGATCCTTTGGACCACTTCCCTATGGGGGGGGGGCGGTGTTGAGACAGGGTCTCACTGTGCAGTTCAGACTGGCTCTGAGCTCACTTCGTAGTCCAGGCTGGTCTCATACTTGCAGCGATCCTCCTGCCTTAGCTCCACTTGCCTATTGCAAGAGATCCATTCCCTTGTCCCTTTCTATGCATCCTTTATTTTTCTCTTTGTTTGTAGTTTGCCTCTCTCAAATGAGAGCTATTCTATGGTATTGAAGGTTGTATGTCTGGTTCATTTCACTCAACATTCTTTTTTCTAGGTGCATCCATTTTCCTACCAGTCTCACAAATTTGTCATTCCTTAGAGTTGAGTAGTATTCCATTACATATATTTTCTTTATCCAATCAACTGTTGGTGGGTATACAGGCCGCTTCTAGGATTTAGCTATTACAAGTTTGCTGCTATAAACATCAGTATGCAAGTATCGCTGTAGTATGATGATGTAACCTCTTTGGGGAAGGTACCTTGCAGGGGATAGCTGAATCATATGAAATTTCTAGTTTCAGTTCTTTGTAAGTCTGCGTAACAATTTCCATGATGGTTTAACTGGTTTACATTCCCAACAGCAATGCAGGAGGGATGCTTTTTCACCACAGCCATGGCAGCATTTGTTGTTTGATTTCCTAGTGAATGCCATTCTTTCCAGAGTAAGAGGCAAGCTTACTTAGCATTGTTTTAATTTGCATTTCCCCAATGGCCAGAGATGTTGAACATTTTTTCATATATTTGCTGAATGTTCTGCATCTTGACTCCATCACTGTCAGTATCCTGGTTGTGAGATCATACTGTAGCTTTTGGCAGAGAAGACCATGGTAAACTTAACACAGGACCTCTCTTTGTGTTAGAACTACATATGAATGTACAGTTTTCTCAAAAATCATTTGATTAAAAAAGTAGAATGAACCAGAGTGAATACTCTGAAATTCATAGTTATCCACTTACTCAAGATACTTTAAAACTCCCTTTATCAGTAAGACAAATTCCACAACTAGTGGCTAGATATGTGGAAGGAACATCTGATGAGAAAAAGTTTGTTTTCCAGAACTGGGTTCACCACGAAGAAATGAACTTCTTTTGTCAAGAGGGTATGCAGGCCTCTGTGTCCTGGAAGTCCAGGGAGGTTAAAGAGTTGGCCTGAAGCTCCACAGTGGGTAGCTGGAGGCCCAGTCTGCATTCTCTGTCTCCTGGCAGCAAGGGGGTGACGTGGCCTCTCCAGTTAGAGCGCTTAAGTTTTGGAAGCTGGCGGTGCCATCGACGGCAGTGGCTGTGGTGTTCCATCGCATGGCTGGGGTCCCCCACGGCATCCTCCAGCTTCTGAAAGAAGCCTGCCTCTGTGTCCCCTTTATACCTTCTGTCCCAGAATAATTAATAATGTTCCCCTTTTCCTCTCAAATAGGGGCATAAAATATACAGCCATCCCGTGCAATATGTATTCACGAGTTCTTTTTCTACCTGAACTGAGGCAGGTAGAAGAAATAAAAACTAGGTAAAAAGGAGCCGAGGAAATTGAGATTGTAAAATTATACTTAACCACAGCTTCAAGACACAAAAGTACTGAAGACTTTTTCCTATCCAGAAGCTCTTTAAAAAAAAAAAAAAAAAACCAACTCTGACGGTCTTAGAGATACAAGAAGCCTAAATGCCAGACTCTGAATCTGTCTGTTTCTCTAGGAAATTGTGCTTTTTTTTTTAACCTCTAAGGAAGCAGCAACACTGGTGGGCACAGCAACTTCAGTGACCTGTAGAGGACTTGCATTCTGACCTAACCTGCCAAATGAGTGACCTGAGAGACCATAGAAATACACACCCAAAACCACCCATCTGCAAAACACCCCCTTAAATATACCCTGCCCTGGCTCATAATGCATCTGTCTTCACTTGGTGCCCCCATCCTACTTTTTTTATTAGTATATATTCACAGTGCATGATTGCATTTGTGGTGGGCAGTTTGTACATTTGCTTGACACTTCTTAATTCTTTTTTTGTTCCCTTCTCCCATGCTCCATCCAACTCTTGTTCCCTCTCCCACTTAAAAAAGCTCTGTTTATGTTGGAAACCACTATGAAGCACTCTGAGCAAAATTTAAATTTTACTAATTGGCTTTCTATGTTTATCTGTGAGTCTGTCCTAGGCCTAGGCCCCTTGCCTGGCGACGGGAGCTGATTCATAGTAAGTGAACCTCTATGAATCACTGGTCCTGGCTCAGGCCTGCAAGGCCAGAGATACCTCAAAGGGCAAGATAAGGCCACAGCTGCAGACACAGGGCTCCAACCCCAATTAACAAGGTAGAGACTGCAGCTAGCTGCAAAGATTACTCCTACAGTCACTACTAGCATGTCTTCATGGTTCTCCTAAACTGGCATGATTCATTACTTGGAGACGTCTTCAAAGTGACTCCCAATGAGGTCTTGCTCATTGCCTGCTCTTTCCTCAGTTTCCCTGCCCTTTATTTTGGACCTATTAAAATGGGCAGTCCAGAGAAATCTTTGTCTTAGCCCTCAGCATCCAGCAGGATCAAAACCCTCCTGGAGCCCTAAAATCACACCACTTGTCTCATTTTATTTAAGCCTTCACCATACACTCCTTTGGGAGATTGGGGATCTAGGTCAGGACCTGATATATTTCCATTTTTCTTTGATTCTTTTTTAAAAATCACTTTCCCCTTCCTTCTCTCTCCATCTCTTGTTCTTCTTCCTGTTTGAAAAATATCTCCTTATTTCTTCTTATGCATCTTTTATTTTGCCCTTTATTTTTTGGAATTCTCATACAAGAGAAATCATGTGCTATTTAAGATTGTGGCCTTTATTTTAACATGAAGATTGTTTCATTTATCTTAACATTTATGGTCTCAAGTTGCTCCATTTACCTACAAAAATGCCTCAAGTTTATCCTTCTTTATGGCAGAGTAATACTTTATTGTATATAAATACCACATTTTCTTCATCCATTTATCTGTTGATGAGTACAGAGGCAGTTCCCAAGATTTAGCAATTATAAATTTTGCTGCTATTAATATGGATGTAGTGGATTAACAACTAATAATCCACTTGGAACACCCAGTTGAACTGAGTCAGCATGGTGCTGGTAGAAGGCCTCCCTGAGGATTATTGCCAACAGCATAAAGGCAGAACTGGAGGGGAAGATGGGGCACTATTGATTCTCCTGGAGAAGCTTGTCATGTTGGTTTTCCTGCTATGAACTTGGCTTTTTTCATCATCAGGTCCTTGCTATTACTGAGGATGGCTGTGCTTCTTTTCAGGGGAGCTGTGGTACTGACCTTGAGCGTTGCTTCCTGGTTCCAGTGCAGATCTCTCAGCCCACTGACACGGCTCCTTCATCCTGCTGGTGCAGACTTTGTAGCTTCCACTGCTGCCAGTGGGGCCTTCTCAGCACAGATCCTTGGTATAGGCATGCATGGGACATTGCTGTGGCCCTAGGTCTTTACGTGGACTTGTAGGGGGCATTGCTATGGGCTCCAGGTCTTCAGCTGGACTCATGCAGGACATTGCTGCCATGGAATCCAGGCCCTCAGTTGGAATCTTTGGGTCTCTAGTATGTCGACAGAGCTCCTGCGCTCTTCTGCATTTGACTCTTTGGGTGACTATTATAAAGTAATCCCATAAGTTACATGTCTGGGTTAATCTTTTCCCTTGTAAGTTCTGGGTATGCATGTATCACTACCATATGATGACTTTAACTCTTTTGGGAAGATACCCAGATGGGGAATAGCTGGCTCAAATGGAATTTCTATTTTTAGTTTTTTGACTTTCTATACTGATCTCCATAGTGTTTTTAGTAGCTGACATTCCCACCAACAATGTAAGAACCTCCCCTGCCCAGCCTTACCAGCATTTGTTGTTATTGTTATTATTATTTGTGTGTGTGTGTGTGTGTGTGTGTGTGTGAAAGAGAGAGAGAGTCTCCCTATGCAGTTCAGGCCAGCCTTGAACTCACTATGTAGCCCAGACTGGTCTCGAACTTGTGGCAATCCTCCTGCATCCTGCCTCATGTGCTGAGATTACAGATGTATACCACTATGCCCTGCTTATCTTGGTTATTTGATTTCTGGATGATAACAATGTTTTTCTGGAGTAAGATGGTATATCCATGTTGTTTTAATTTGCACTTCTCCAGTGGCTAG